GCGGGACGCTGACCTCCGTGTAGAGCTGCGGGGGGTCGAAGGCTGGGGCGATGCGCAAGTCCACTGCGCAGTAGTCCAGCTCGCGTTGCCCTGTGGTGTGTTGGCAGGTGGATAACCCCGTCGCCAGTAGGACTCCGCCGGTGTCGTCAACCCAGTTGCTGTTGGCCAGCTCGCTGGGTAGCATGTTGCAGTCTCCCTGGAGGACCCAGGGGATGCTGAAGCGGTGGATGATGTCAGCGATGCGATCCAGCAGGCTGAGGTTCCTGATGGTTAGGCCCTCCGAGACCCACATGTACACGCTGATGAGCATCATGCCTCCCTTGCCACCGATGGGTGCCCAGGCCACGCACAGCCGCCCTGGTGACCCAGGTGGTGAGTGGTCGAAATCCTTGTATCCCGCCAGCGGTGCCAGGCCAATATCTGGGGGTACTGCAATTTATACTCCTGCGCTGGGCCCTCCATGTGGCCCAGGGGCAGACTTGGTCATGGCCAGGGTCATGCCTCGCTTCTTGGTGGAGGCGAGGATCTCTGGTATCCACTGATTGCTCAACTGATGTTCCTGTCCAAGGAGAGCCCAAACCTGGCCGCCACACAAGGAGTCGAGTAGCGTGCTGGCGGCGCTCCATGTAGAACAGTTGGCCCCGTAGATCCTGACTCCTGCCTTGGGCGCTCCTCTTTTGCCCCGCTTGGACTGGTTCGGCCGCGGGCTCGCTGAGCTGCTCACAGTGGGGTCCTCAACCTCCATGGGATGCTTGCCGTCGTGGCTGCCGTGGTGGATGTCGTAGCTGGGGTTGCTGCCGTCGATGTCGTGTTCGTCAGAAGCCGCGACCCTTTGCCTTGGGGTCCGCTCCTTCTCTGCTGGCGGAGGGTCCTTCCTTCGCCTTGCAGAGCCTGGGTGTATGTCGTTGCCCACGCAGGTGTCCGTCCTGCCGTTGAGCTCGATGTCTGCCTCCAGAAAAAATACTTGAAAGGGATCCCGCATCGCCTCGGGCTGAGCCACTAGTAATGCCGCGAGACGGCACCGTCGGATCGTCCTGGCGCGGGGTGGGGACGGTCGGCACGCCCGCCTCCACTCTTCGCAGAGCGGGCGCGGCAGCGTGGGTTCCACCCCGCCGCCCCCCCTGGGAGACGCGGAAAATACTCGTCCTCCCCCTCTCCCCCACCGTGGCCAGCTGTGGTTTGGCTCCTGAGTGGCTCCAGGTGGAGGTGCCTCCGTAGTCTGCGATCCCGCTCATGTCGGGCTCGCCGTCCAGGTGCACGCCGTCGTCGTGGATGTCTGCGACGTCTGCTGCTCCCGAGCCCCCCCCCCCCCCAATTGGCAGCGGAGAGGCGCTGGTCATTCGGGCTGCCTGCTGTGACACAAGGTCGCTCAACCCTCAGCGGGCCCTCGGCAAGGTCCTGCACTTCGCAGGGCACCAGGCCTTCCACACCGCGCTGATCCTGGGCCCTCTGATTGGGTTCACGCTTCTCCCTAGCCCGCAGGGGCTGGGACCCGCGACCAGGTGCAGGCTGCAGCAGTGCGTTGGGGGCGTCTGATCTGCGCCCTCTGAGGTGGGGGTGTCCACCTGTGGTGGGAGCACCCCGGGAGGCTCCCTGGCCGTGTTGGGGGGGCAGCGCTCGAACCGCGGACGGCTTCGGCCACCCGCCCGTCGGCGGCGTCGGCGGTGAGCTGGGCGCTGCGGGAGGCTTCGACCACCCGCGCGTCCGCGGCAGCCCGCGCGCACCCTATGCCGCCCCCCCTGCTGTGGTCTGGGACGGCTCCCGCCCCACCTCTTTGTCGCACGATGAGCGAGGGCTGCGAGAGATCCTGATCCTCTCGCGCATCAGCCTCTGCTCCGAAGGCAGGGTCCTGGTCCATGACCTGGCTGAGCAGCTCCTCTAAGCTCAGCCCATGGATGGTGTCCGTCTCCCGCTCGTCGGCGGCGTCCTGCGTGAGCTGGGCCATTCAGGTCGGTGCTCTCAACGTCGTTCGTGAGGGGCGCCGCGACCGCTCGGGGGCCGAGGGTCCGCGTCCTCTCTGCGGGCGGCTCCTCTAGCCCTCGCGTCGCAAAGCCTCGCTGTATGTTGTAGTTGTCAACGCAGGTGCCCCTGTCGTCGTTGACCTCCGTGTCTGTTTCTGGGTCGGAGTCGCCTACCGCCCAGGCCCCTGTCTTGATGATGATCGTGTCCCCAAGAGCGCCCATTCTCTTCGGGGGTGTGCCATCAACGAATCTGGTGCTCCATGCTGGTCCTGCTCCTCTAGGTCCAGCGCGATGTGCGGGGCAGTGGTCGGACGCCCCGCCTGCCCTTGGCTCAGGCGGGTTGGGCCCCTGCCACTGGTTGGGCGCCTGCGGTAGGGGCCTGGTCGCTGTTCTCCTTGACCTGGTCCTTCTTGCGCCCGGCCAGGGTCTCGTTGGTGCGTCGCTGAAGTTCAGCGCGGCTTGCATCTGTAGAAGGGCAGGTGCCCCTGGGCGGTGCCGCTGCGGGCGGCGCCGACGCTGCGCCTCCAGCCGTGATCGCC